CCATGCGCCAAGACTTCACTATTCTACTCAGGAAGAATATAGGCTGGCGCATTAAAACTCTTTGACCGAGTCTGGAGGATCCGAGGACCGAATTCCGCCGACTCACACCAAAGCTAACTGAAATCTGATGTCTGGGTCACAGTACCCTTCATTTTTCCTTGCAAACAGGTTAGTCCCAACGGCTGCGCAGGTGGGACCTACTACGAGATATCTATTCACTGCAGTACTATGTTCCTAAATCAGGAGTTGGGGAGATAGGGTGTGTAAGACCTACTACAACGGTAGATCAAGCAAACAGTCGATGCTGGGCGCCATTGATTAACCTGTGAACAGACGGCGTCAGTGCCCGTCTTGTCACCGACCTGTGTGGATAGGAGGGTTGCGCTAATGTTGCAGCAGGGCGACTCCTGAGAAGGGGTGCTCGGAGATTCACTGGAGCGGGCTACATTGTTCCCTGGTCTGACCCAGTTGTGGGAAAGGGCACGCCAGCCTCACACCCATCAAGGTAAGGAACACCGCCAATCATGCATCTTTCAGCGAGTGCTGATTTAACATGCAAGAGCATCTGGATGGTCAGAGCTTTATTATAACTGCAGAGACATAAGGTTTTTAAAAGGGTGTCTAGGAATACGTAGAAAAATAGGTTAGGTAGATGCAAGACGTTGATACGATCGAAAAAATCTCATCTCGTTAAAATGCAAATCTCTTGACACCGGGGGAGAAGAAACAAGCACGGGAGCTTGTGCGCAGGCCGTTAAAGGTCGGTCCAATCGACGGGCGCTTTCTTGTGCTGACGGAGATACTCATTGGCCTGGCTGAAGTGTCTACAACCGAAGAAGCCCTTGCTGGCAGACAGAGGTGAGGGGTGCGGTGCCCGCAGTATGAGGTGCCGCTTGGCGTCAATCTGTGAGGCCTGTGCCTGCGCGTTGGCTCCCCACAGCAAAAAGACCAGATTCTGCAAGCAATTGAAAAAATGAACACCCTTCAGTTAAAGCCATGGCCAGTCGGGCTGAAATAGCGTTCTGCTGCATGGGGCCTGAGCCACCCGAGGAAGTCGTACGTTGACAATCGGGAGATTGGGAATAAGAGGTTGGCGCGGTTTGCTCGTGCATGCAATTTCGCAGGCCTGGGATCCAACTATAAAACCGAGCAAAGGCTAGTCAGCATAAAAGACAGCTAACGGCAATAAATCATTTCTACGCCTGACGGTAGTCTGAGTGGGCGTCGAGCGTGTAGGGCAGGACCGAGAGGCGGCGAAGCTGTGCGATCAGTAGAGAGGGGAGGGGTCGACGTGCGTGGACCTGAACCTTGCAGCCGCCACATCGAACGGTCTACCTGTTGTGTTATTAGACGTCGCACAGACCGGTGGATATAATAGCAGAGGCCAGGACATGCACAGTCAACATGGATTAACTTCCTTCACACCACAGAGCGCAACTCCCGGGCCCAGCAATGGCTCGTAATAGAGAAGCAAAGTCTGTTGCTAGTTGCAAATGTTGCTTTGCGACGTGCGCTATCAGCCTGCAATTCAATTATCCTCGAACATTTATATAAGCCTGGGAAGCAATACTTTTATTGGTGTGGATTGTGGAGAAAGACAGCCGTTGTACCGTAAAAATGCCGCATGCTCACTCAAAACTACCGCCACTGCGATCAAGCCAAGCACAGACGTATTGGGTGCATATATGTTAGTACACTGTCCGCAAACGGCGGCTTCCGAGAGGACAATGCAGAGCTGAGCGCCGGACCCGTAGCTGGGGCGAGGAACGTGCGATCTCCCTCCCAGAAAGGTTAAATTGTGCTCTGACCTGGTAGACGAGTTAAGTGAACTCGGCTGGAATGTGTGATTCTCCTATACGCACACAAATGGTACATAGCTCCTAATGCATTTTGATAGAAGTCTAGTAAGAAAACCTACTGTTGCAGAACACAAAAACACACTGAAGCAGATTTTCTAGAAACTCCATAACCCCCTCGACGACAAAGACTGCGACAGATGGTAGATATGCGGTTCGCGGCTCGCGCGATTGTCGCTTCTAGCAAGAATTCCTGCTTCGCCAGACTTGAATGTGTGGTTGGGTCCGGCTAAATAAGACACGACTTGGGAGTTGGCGTCGTTCCTACTTGCTGCCGCCGCGTGCTCGGCCATCCGCGTCCGGAGCAGTCTTCCGATTTCTCCGACATGGTTGCAATGTCGGCGAGTCAAATTGTCCAAGGGCCCATAGAGATGAAGTCCGGCAGTCAGCAGCTCGACTGCGTGCGATGAGCGTGGGAGCCGATAATCTTCACCAACACACAGGTGCATAGAAACCGCATGGAAACTGAGGCAAACTCCCCAGAACCTCCATAACCCCGCCTCTCCCCCCCTCCCCCTCGGTGGCAAAGATCGACAGTAGATATGCAGCATGTGCACCTACCGAGTTCTCCTTATTGAGGGTTCTGACTACGGCAGTGGTGAGCTGTTCCCAGCCACGATCCTTGTGAGAGTTGGGCTGTCCCCGACGCACTGTCAGTACAGCGTTTAGCAGGAGGACGCCCTGATTGGCCCAGTTGGTCAGATCACCGTGCTTGGGGGGCCACTGACGTGTGGGTTGGGCAGAGGCCAGCTGTTCAGCGCAATCTGAGGCGATCTCCTTGAACATGTTGATCAGGCTGGGCGGTGGTGGCTGCGGTCGCTGCACGGAGAAGGCGAGTCCGTGAGCCTGATTGGGTCCGTGGTAGGGATCCTGACCTAGAATAACCACCCGGACGGCCGTTGGCTTTGTCAGTTTGCTCCAGGAAAAGACCTAATGGGTAGAGGAGAGCGCTAGAATTAACTGTCACTGAATATTGCAGTATTAATGGGTCCTATGATCATTAACCATTAGCATGTAAGGGCCTGGGCGGCCACTCCGCATATCGTCAAGGCAGTGGTTGCACACGTAAGGAAAGATGACTTGCAGTGAATAAGTATTGTCAGAGAAGACAACGGAGACTGAAAGGGGCATTTCTGATCGCCTTTTGTGGCCAGCCAGCCGTACCCCAGCCCCTGGCCGGGTAGACAAGAGGTGTGGGACCAACGGAACCATCCGCCCATGTTGACCCCACCCACACTACTACTAACTGCCTGCTAGTAACCAAACGATAATATGGTAATTTTCATGCGTGCTTTTCTGTTGTCGATTCCCCTGTCTCGGCCCATAGTGCTCGTACATCTTGATTAAATCCTCAGACAATTACACGAATTGTCCAGCTTAGTCTACGTGCATTCTGACATTGACGATGACCTCGGGTGGGTTTGGTCCGGCGAAGAATTTGGTATTGTATCAAAGCTACCGGATAAGAAATAACATCTGGGACAGTTCTGCTACTAGACAGATGGGTCCACGCCATCAGTTGTCCTGGTTGCGAGACGGAAGTGGGTATTCCCGTCTCGCCTTTTAGCTCCGATCGAGAGCTCGAGCTGAAAACGTCGTGGCAACAGAGTATTGGGAAGATCATGTTGGGAGCAGTGGGAAGGGCGTAAACTGGAGGCCCTGGCGGAGTTTGGACAAAACAAGTAGATGTGACACGGGGAGTCGTACGACAGAGGTGGACAACGCGTGATACTTTAAAATACGGTCGAACAGCGGTTCAGCCACAGTCATTACTGTTCCCGCATTGGGTCTTTCACTGCTGGCCTCAACTAACACCTATTGGCTAGTTACCTGTACCCTCCGGACGGGCCGCGCGGTAGATGCCCTGGACCAACATGGGAACCACTCTGGATTCTGGCAGGTGTTGTCGGAATGTACATCATAACAAAATTTCAACACTTCGGAGTGCGGGGGCAGGCTGACGTCGCGCACATTGGGATCCTTGCCGCCCCTCCCCCCATTGTTGTTGTTGTTGGTTTAAAATCCCGGTCAATTGTGTGGACAGGGGGTGTGGGGTGGAGCGCCAAGGTGCGGGCACGACCGCGTCATCCACGTGCGTCCTCCCCCGCCTTCGGTCTTCTTGACTCTGTCTTGACACTGAGCCCATGGGTGGGGGGGGGGGAGAGGGTGCGGTAGATGTTGCGCAAGTCTACTAGCACCATAAACTAACGCACGCGCAAGTCACTGCGCCTGTTTCGCCTTGCTGTGGAGCACACAGTGGACATCGTCGGGCACGACAGTCGAACTGTCGTTGGCTGGCAACCTCCGCTCCTCTCAGTCTCTGAGGGAGAGGGGTGCGGCAAAGTGGCTACTAACTTAGTGGCCCTACTACTGACTGTAAGACTTGGGGGATGCCAATCCCACATGGTTACTTCAGTGCGGCCGACAGTCTCCAAGGCGGACTCACGCATTAAGAACAGGCAAAGGCAGACGTCTCAGGCATAGTGCGTCATCCTGAGTACAAAAGTCTTGCCCCTTGTGGCACCCGACAGGGTGGTAGCTTGGTATCGTGCGAAGCGAGATATACACTGAAGTACGAGGCAGGGTCAGTGGATTTCCCCCGACACCGGCCTTGTGCAGCCGGTCCGGCAGTAACTACAACTACCGTGCCTCGAATACAACAGCTACACATGCACGCCCTCAATGCGGTCGAGTATTTAGGCATCAGCAACAGAGGTAGACCTGGTGGGATTAAAGGCGCTCATCTTCGAGGCCGGGCTTAACTCATCCCTGTGTTGTTCCCACTCACAGATGACAGGACGCTGCACTCTCAGCGCCGTGGGGGAACAGGCTGAAGTTTGTTGGAAGCTTGCAAAAAAGGGTCTGTTGAGACATGTGCGCGAACGCTGGAAGGAGGATTCGAGTTGATAAAAAGGCGTATTTGGGGAAAAGGGATTACTGCAGACGGGCATACCTGATCGGGAGGAGGGTAGACGGTCCCAGCCTTGCGCTCCTTTTCGATAAACTCTGCGAGGAGGGAAAATTTGGCATCCTGCACGACGTTCGTGAGGTGGAAGAGCCAATCAGGGTCCAAACCACGAATCAAGGCTTTGCTGGGAGGTGGCAGCTTCAGGAGCATTTGGGCTACTGACTGTCTATGCTTTATTTTTTCTTCGTCTTTAGGGCTGGCGGGGTCTGAAGGAAGAGGGATCGACGGGAAAGAGTTAGCTACTGGGCAAACAACAGTCTTGAAAGACATGCTTTTATATCAGGGGAGTGGTTGTAGAACATTTCGTGCAAGTATTAAGTGACCGCGTAACCACAGCACTAATAACGGTGAACACGTGTAGATTTCCTCTTCATGTGCTCCTTCGTTCTCCAGTTTTGATATTATAGCAAGGGTCCCCCAGATCGGTGATGGGTGCAATCAATTACGATTGATCAGTGACACGTCCTCAAGCCGCATCTTGGCTGAGATGGCCGAACTGATCGGGTTCAGGAGCTGAGAAATTGCTCCTCCCCTCTAGAGTGTCGTGTCGGATCGGTCTCGGTGATGTCGCGAATTGTGTCTCCTCACGTGTGACGATCTGCAACAACAGATCTGGAGAGCTTGACCCATTCCTCCTCTCCCCCAGCAACGGAGACCCACCACAAAGTATCCAATAACTACTTATTTGTCTTAGCAGACTGTGTCAAGCCAGATTTTAGACTAGCCTCCTCTTCGGCGCCTCCAGGTGGGCAACAGCGTCGGATCAAGTGCAGCAATACTGAGCTCATGACGCGGACAACGAGAAACGCGTTCAAATCTCCTCAGTCGTCTTCCTCCGACAACCTGAGTTATTCTAGCGATGTCGCAACGAATGCAGACTGCCCCATTGGGGGAGAAGTCGGTGTTGTGAACTCGAGGGGTGGTCCTCCGACAGCACTACTGCAGTGCCACCACCGGACCCTCCGGCAGTTGATAGTAGGGTCTCGATACTCAGCGGTCTACTGGCGCAGCTGTTGTTGGTCCACGAATGCATACTCGTCAGACGTGGATCTACCAAGCTTCCCAGCTAGCTCCCACTGAAAGTTGTCCCACGCGCGCGCAGCAATCGGGCGACGAAAAAGCATTGCCTTCCCGGCAGACTTCTCGAGACTCCACCGCCAAGTTTTTTTAAAGCCGGAGAGAGGGAAACTTTGGTCCCCGAAGCTGGGCAGCTAAACCCGACGAACACTGTTTGAGAGGGGGACATGTAATTCTACTCGTCGGGTATAAAACTTGTCGGGGAGGAGGGTGGAAATATTCGTTTGTGTGTTGGAAGCAGCGTCTTAAGGCGTCGTACCTTTGTTTTCAACCTGATCACCAGAATCAAGCCGTGGACCCTTAGAACAGCTTGCCCCGTCTGCTGAACTTGGGGTATTCGAAGCCAGTGCCCTCTTCATTGTTCCCGTGGCGCCCGTTTTCGGCGTTGGACTGAAGAAATCCTGCAGAAGAGACTGGGTGGCATTTTTAAGGGGCACCTTGGACATTGCTCCAGCTAAAAAGGATTAATTTCATATTATTAGGACGCCTTTTGGAATAAACACATGTCGGAAAAGAGCCGGTGGCCATCCTGTCGAGCGGCGCCTCAAAATGTCGCTGATGAGGCTTGGAGAAGTTGAAAAACGGCAAAAACGAGGCGTTTAACTGTGCTTAATCGGCAGAAGAACTTACTGTGACCTAGATGCGTTACGATATTCACCTGGCTTCCCCGATATCAACCACTCTCAGTTCTCAGTCATCATCGAAACACTTATACTAACACAGGCAGTCTTCGGAGTGAGTTGTCAGACAGCACATGTAAACCCACAGATGGCGGGTATTACGGAAACGTGGATTGCACAGTTTCAGAACTCGAGGGCTGCTATTGGTAGTTTTGATATTTCTCAAGAGGGGCGCCTAAACCTATCGTCACGCTTTCCAGATGCTGCAGGTTCCAAAACCCTGTCAGATGGCCCACTATCTCAATTTGCATTTCGCCTAGAAGCCACAATCGTCTGAGATTCCATTAAATGACACTAAGAAATTTTTAGACTAAATCATCTTCGTACTAGTCACCGTACAAGGTTCCGCGACCATCGAGCACCGTCGCATCAGAATTTACTCACTACATCTATGAATATATAATTATTTACCAAGGACATTAAATCTCTTGCGATGAAACCGTCTACTTGGTGATCTCTTTTATTGTAAATGTACGTTACAAAAACATCCAGGATTGCGAAACTTCAGCGGCGTCCAGTGCGCAAATAAACTTTCTTCGGGTCTGCGATGGTCCTCCCCCTTGACTCAGAAACAAGCCCGAATATCGGAGCTGTTCTTGCAACAGACGACCTCCGCCACCCCGGCAATTCTTACCCGAGAATGACTAGCAGAATAAGGCGGTGTATAACTAAGGCACGGGAAGAATGTTTGTGATAAAAACCTATGTGAAATCCAGCCGGAACTCTGATAGGGCGGTGCTGGACTAGCAATAAAAATCAATTTCTTGAGCATACCAAAACGCAGCCAAGGAAAGGTAGTGGGTAAGTAAATGCTTTACAGGAGACGGCATGGAAGTCATTGGCGAAAATAACTCGATTCTGGCTAAGCGATTCGTCCAAAACTCTATAGTGGACATTGCCGAACTAGATGCGGCCAGCCTCACTGGTATAAGGATGATTGAATGAGGTTGGCGCAAATCAGGTCTACCTCTGGAGCGCTTGTTACAAGGCTAACAACTGTCATGCTGGAGTCGCCTTGCCCATCAGGAAAATTTTCGCCTTCCGCGGAGTGGACGCCAGCCCCATTTCAATGGCGCTCCCATTATGTGGGAGGGAATTTACTCCTATTCTCCGCGTCTGGGGCAACGACAAGAGGGTTTCCACTACTGGCTGTAGTGTCAGAGATAACAATCGACAGGACAACTTGCCCGTGGCTCAGTGGTTAGGGTGTTAAGCTTCTAACCAACAGGTCACAGTATCGAACCCAGATGTCCCACGCCTCGGCGTCAGGAGTGACTGACTGACGACGATCAATAAGTCAGATCCTCATTAAGAAGTACCCCACCGTTGCAGAGTCCACGGGCTCGGATTGTTGGAGGTCTAGAACCCAGAACCTTTGATGACTACGCGACACGTCGACACACTCCTGGTCTGACTTATAGACAGCATTAACTTTTTAGGGAGCAAATTGTGACAATCCTGACATACAAAACGGTTAGTGAAAGAATTTCGTCAAAATTTACAAAATCCTGTTCCTTTTTAAAGCCCAAGTTCTTGGCGTGAATATGGTAATTAATGTATCTGGAGAGGTGCCAGAGCAACATATCAATCAAAAATACCCTGGGTAGTACGGCTTCGCGCTAAAAGTCCCTTTCGATGGTTAATCAAACAGCTGCAAGAAAGCTGGTACTAACAAACTGCATTCAAAATGAAATACAGCTTGCGCAAGCGCACGACGCAGAAAAGCAGTACGACAAGCATA